CCTAATTGAAATACAAAGCAATAATTCATTAATAATCAAGGTTCACAACCCAAATCTCAAATACAAGAATGATTCATAATCCAAACTTAACTCAGTTACAACTCTAAAAGTAACACGGTTAAAAATATAAAACATAAGGAATCAAAAAAATATCTTGTTCTCAAGCATCAGACTAATGACCCACATCGTAATCAATCTCAAAATTTGCATCTATTCCTGTCTTATTCTCTAGTCTAGTAAAGAGATCTTTTTCCAAACATAACAAGGTTTAAAACTAAGAAAACAAAGTCCAAGTCACATTTCAAAATATATGAAATTTACTATAAAGAATGTGTATCATGATTATCAAAACAAAATATAACTTTCAAAATCTCATGATTTAACCATGTAAAGTAACTCATGATACTAAGCCACATCTAACTACCATTTTTCAATTTGTGCTTGTCATCCTTGGATAGGGGTTATGCTAATCTTCTTTGCATCGTTCCAATTTTATCGGATGTCCTCAGAGGGACACAAATCTAACNCCATTTTTCAATTTGTGCTTGTCATCCTTGGATAGGGGTTATGCTAATCTTCTTTGCGTCGTTCCAATTTTATCGGATGTCCTCAGAGGGACACAAATCTAATTACCAAGAATGCCACATACCAAAGTTTATCTGGCAACAATCATCAAATATCAATTGCAAGTTTTGGGGTCTTTCAACCATTGAAAAATAACGCACTTCTTACTCTTTAAGTAGGATTAGTAGCAGGGATCCATGACATCACATATGCCACCACACAATATTACTAATCAGTCCTCCCAAGGAGTAGTAGAAACCATTGGAAATTCATAAGGAACCAAAATCATCTACCAATCCTCCTATATCAACTAGGGTGTATTCATGTTGATTGAACCATGACATAGGAACCAACAAATGTACTTCACAAATCATTGCTTTAATCCAAACAATGGAATGACACCTTTTAATCAAAATGCGATATCATTTTTAAGAACATGTATATAAAAATAGAATCCATTGCCACGAATCAAATTTTCAATATAAATGAATATAAAAAAAATTAAGGTTTGTGAATCCATAGCCCACCCGATGAGAAAAGCTATAGTTTTTGGCAAAAAAATATCATATGTTCCATTTGGAATTCTAAACCAACATAAATATAGTGAATTGAGTAAAAATAATAGTCAAGATATCATGTATGCAATAGTCATGCCTCAATGTTTAGTAGAAACCCTATATTAGATCCAATTTCAAAAACCCTAAGCGTTCAAATTTTCAAGAATCCTAAGTTCTTCTAGCCTTCAACACCTTCTCTTTCTCAATCTCCACTTTTATCCATCTAATATTGTGTTTGAGAACAAATAATAGAAGGAAAAGGGGAAAAAATGGGGTTGGGGTATTTATAGGGTTAAAATAAGTCCAATATGACATTGTTCATCTTCAAGTTTTCAGCTTATTTCTTGAGTGGCCCTCTCACCGCTTGAGTACTTTTCTCTAGAAAGAAATTTACTTAATGACTGCTCGAGCCGTACCTTTTTCACTCGAGCTTCATTCTTTCACATTACTCCTGAAGACCCAAATGTCCATCCTTGACCCTCCAAAATCCATTTCAAACTTCCTACTAAAATTTTACTAGTATCCTATATTTTGAAATGCTTAATATTTTGTTTTCTAACATAAAAGCAACTTCCCAAGATCATTTTAATTATTATAGCATTACATTTAAGAGAGTATATTCTATGTTAACACATGGGGTCTTATATGGATGAGTACATCAGTTGAAGAGCCAAGTACAAGCCTTAGAATACTGGAGGATTCCAAGTTTCAAGAAGTCTACCAAGATTTGCAAAGTGGACTACATCAAGATTAAGGGCTGCAAAAACTTATGGATAACACCTTAGTAAATTTAGGACATATTTTAGGTTTATGCACATTCCCTCATACACACATCTGAGAACTTGGTTGGGTTGATCACTAAAGAGAAAAAAATCCAACAACATGGATTTGACTGGCCTTAGCAAAACTGAATAGGTGTAGTTAGCTTGCAGTTTTTCAATTGAATAGATTGAGGCAATTGGAAGCCAACTAATCACCTTGCAATGCCTCTGTTCTTTTGAACAACTACGGTTACTCCCACACCTACAAGCTAATCTTCAGATGAGTTTGATGGTTAATGTTTCCTCTATCCTCATAATTATACCATCCATTCATTGGAAGATACAAAAAGTAGTTTGGCCATTTTACTCTTAATCCAAGAAGAACTAGTAGTAGTAAGGAGTATGCTTAGATCTGTTGAGTCTAGTTGATCTTCCTTCTCTAAGGGTTACGCTTTGTAAAAGGCATAAACAAAGATACCTTAAGTTGGTGCTTGGGTTTCTATAGGTGCCTACTTTTTATCCTTGCTATTAGGTTGCTCATACCATTACCACAAAATGTTAATTACATTTAACCCATAAGGAGGCTAAGTTCTAGAAGAAACTTATAAGAACTCTGTGTGAGATTGAGCAAAATAATTTTTATAACCCTTGATGGACCTTGAGGGAGCGGATAGGTGACAAGAAAAAATATAACACATGAATACAACAATTCAAATGTCATTGGAAAATAAGCAAACAAATCATAAGGACAAAGCAAGAACAAGGATGAAAATCACATGCAGTGTAACAAAATTAAACACAAACAACATGACAATTTTTAACATGGAAAAAAATGGGCAAAAAAACCATGTGAACAAGTTCAACCCAAGCCAATATCTTTGTTGAAATCTAGGCGTAAGACTCAATACTTACAATCCTCACTAGAACCCATATTTGTAAGCTATACTCTTGTCTTTACCTTTCTTGATGAATCCTTAAGCCATTCAACTTGTTTTTATCACTGTATCCTTTGATCATATCCTCGAAATCTTGAAATGCTTCTACTCCTAAAATGCTTGTTGACTTTCCATTTCCTTGAAATTCTTAAAATTTTCTGCTCTGGAAATGCTTCTACTCCTGAAATGCTTGTTGACTTTTCCACCACTATAACTTGCACCAACTCACAAAATTTCCTCAAAATCCATCCCGTACTCAAGATAATCACCACAACATATCACACAAATTCACCATGGTTGAAACATGAATCGCTTAATGAGGAATGATAACTCTAATGCTTTGTGAAAACCTAGAAGGGATATTCACTCAAGCTCACTCATGGGTTCATGTTCTAATTCAAAACATGAAAAATAACATAAATGTCTTTTATGAAAAAAATTCACACATTTAGAGAATGGCTAGGGTTTTTCTAGTTCTACCAAGCTATCAAGAAGATAAAAGCATCTAAAAAATTTCTCTCAAAAACATATGAAAAATTCCAAAGTCTATGGTTAAATAGATAGGAAAAAGTCGCTTGAGTGCCACTTCCTTTGCTCGAATGTGTTTAGTCAATGTGAAGACAAGCAAGTGTGGGTTTTGGAATTTCTAATGTCAACTTCTGCACCTTCATTGGAGTGCCTAGCTTGCATTCTAGAAGCGGTAGCTTCTCGCCTCCTTTATTCCTACTGCCTTCTTCGGTGAGAAGTTCCCTTCCCTCAACTTCATGCTCACTTAGTAAGGTTTTCATCCAAATAAGCTCATAATCCATTGCTCTACACTCTACTTCTGCATTCGATCGTGTAACAATTATGGATTTCGTGTCTAAGTTTCCAATAACTCATAGAGATAAATTTCCAAAATATTTTTCATAGTAAAAGTATTAGGCCAACAATAATCTCACTTCGACAATGTTGGATTTGATTTTATCAAAATAAAATCTTCTACCCACCTAATGTTTAACTAGGTTTCTAAGTCCACTTACCTTCCTTAATCGGTCTAGGGATCAATTAAGTGTTCCGCAAGCTTCTTCAATATCTGGACTTCAGTAGCTTTATTTCTTCCATCATTGTATCACAAACTTAGACCTATACGAACTTGACATTTTATGTGACTCATGAACTTATACTAAAATTTGTAAATTGTGGTAATGACCATATGTTTTTAGGTTTGCCTTAGGAAATGTTCACCAAATCCTTGGTATGGGTCCTTGCAGAGACTTGTTGGGGTAGGTTATAGGATTGATTGGCTTGTAATCCTTGAGATTGTTTGGGTTTGTTTCAAAATCTCGTATTGGTGGAGTAACTCCACAGTGGATGTAGGAAAGATTGGACGTTAAGTAAAGTAGGTCAAAGCACTCTATATCACGTGTTCCATGGTTTGATTAAACCTTTATTTTGGAAGCATGCTTTACTATTTATTTGACCAAATATATAAATTTTAATGTAGAAACTTGAAGTATGGTCAATAAGAACTCATTGTATTATAACAAGTCTTTTATGCTATATTTCATATTTTGAAATTAGTGATAGAACATGTTTATAACACATAAATAAACAACATAGTGCATTATTAAATTGAACTAACAAACAATATAGAAAAATAGTAACCAATAGTTAGGAGAAGCTATAGTTCACAATAACGGGCCATTCTATTCAATTGACTAGATTGACTAATCATCGACCATACTCATCATATATCCCCAAACAGTCAAGAAAATTCCCTTGTTTGAGAATATGTAGAACTATAAGTTAAAGGACCCAAGCTTAACTTCTTTATTTGTGAGAAAGGACATTTTATACGGTATTAGGGCGGGTTTGTTCTGATTATCGAACCACTAGAACATGATCCTTATCATTTGGTAGTCCTTAAAAAGAAAGCAAGAGGGGAAAGAAAAAAAAAAATACTTTCACCAAATCCTCTTAACTTAGTTTAGCCAACTTGTTGAGTGAGGATTTCGATATCTTCACCTCTAGGGCACTGAATGAGTCATCAATACCTAGTGCTAGTGATTNTTCTACCAAGCTATCAAGAAGATAAAAGCATCTAAAAAATTTCTCTCAAAAACATATGAAAAATTCCAAAGTCTATGGTTAAATAGATAGGAAAAAGTCGCTTGAGTGCCACTACCTTTGCTCGAATGTGTTTAGTCAATGTGAAGACAAGCAAGTGTGGGTTTTGGAATTTCTAATGTCAACTTCTGCACCTTCATTGGAGTGCCTAGCTTGCATTCTAGAAGCGGTAGCTTCTCGCCTCCTTTATTCCTACTGCCTTCTTCGGTGAGAAGTTCCCTTCCCTCAACTTCATGCTCACTTAGTAAGGTTTTCATCCAAATAAGCTCATAATCCATTGCTCTACACTCTACTTCTGCATTCGATCGTGTAACAATTATGGATTTCGTGTCTAAGTTTCCAATAACTCATAGAGATAAATTTCCAAAATATTTTTCATAGTAAAAGTATTAGGCCAACAATAATCTCACTTCGACAATGTTGGATTTGATTTTATCAAAATAAAATCTTCTACCCACCTAATGTTTAACTAGGTTTCTAAGTCCACTTACCTTCCTTAATCGGTCTAGGGATCAATTAAGTGTTCCGCAAGCTTCTTCAATATCTGGACTTCAGTAGCTTTATTTCTTCCATCATTGTATCACAAACTTAGACCTATACGAACTTGACATTTTATGTGACTCATGAACTTATACTAAAATTTGTAAATTGTGGTAATGACCATATGTTTTTAGGTTTGCCTTAGGAAATGTTCACCAAATCCTTGGTATGGGTCCTTGCAGAGACTTGTTGGGGTAGGTTATAGGATTGATTGGCTTGTAATCCTTGAGATTGTTTGGGTTTGTTTCAAAATCTCGTATTGGTGGAGTAACTCCACAGTGGATGTAGGAAAGATTGGACGTTAAGTAAAGTAGGTCAAAGCACTCTATATCACGTGTTCCATGGTTTGATTAAACCTTTATTTTGGAAGCATGCTTTACTATTTATTTGACCAAATATATAAATTTTAATGTAGAAACTTGAAGTATGGTCAATAAGAACTCATTGTATTATAACAAGTCTTTTATGCTATATTTCATATTTTGAAATTAGTGATAGAACATGTTTATAACACATAAATAAACAACATAGTGCATTATTAAATTGAACTAACAAACAATATAGAAAAATAGTAACCAATAGTTAGGAGAAGCTATAGTTCACAATAACGGGCCATTCTATTCAATTGACTAGATTGACTAATCATCGACCATACTCATCATATATCCCCAAACAGTCAAGAAAATTCCCTTGTTTGAGAATATGTAGAACTATAAGTTAAAGGACCCAAGCTTAACTTCTTTATTTGTGAGAAAGGACATTTTATACGGTATTAGGGCGGGTTTGTTCTGATTATCGAACCACTAGAACATGATCCTTATCATTTGGTAGTCCTTAAAAAGAAAGCAAGAGGGGAAAGAAAAAAAAAAATACTTTCACCAAATCCTCTTAACTTAGTTTAGCCAACTTGTTGAGTGAGGATTTCGATATCTTCACCTCTAGGGCACTGAATGAGTCATCAATACCTAGTGCTAGTGATTTCTTTAGTCACGTTGAGGATGACTCAGCTTTAGTGGCTTGAAAACCTTATAAGTTTTTCTATAGGTAATTGGAGATTCTAGTAGTCTTAGTACAACTACCACTGCAACTTCTCTTAGAGAAGAATTACTCGAGGACACTTGCCTCACACACAACTAGCATTTTCCACCTATGGGTAGTAATACTAATAACATTACCTTCGACCACACATTCCATTGTCCAGGAAGTGATCTCAGCGTTATTCTTAGAGGAAAAATGTTCATATTGGCTGTTCTAGTCTCGATAAGACTATGATGATATGGAAATTGACGATGAGTTAGTGTGCGATCTTTTTGATGAAAGGATTTTTGATATGGGGTAACCACTCAATCCATCAAATCTAGAGATCCAAATGGGAAGAGTCTTTGTGGATCCACTTACTAATAGGGTTAGGAAGCTTAAGTTAGAAAACTAAGAGATTAAGTTGAAGAATCCTAAACTTCAACAATTCAATGAGAAGTGCTTTCCATGGAATGAAAACTCCAAAGACTCCAAGGCCTTGGCACAATGCCTAATGATAGGAGCGACCTAGGATTTACCAATAGATTGAGTAATTTACCATTACCTTTATAAAAAGAAAGATTTAAAGTACCCTATTCCTTTTACACTTAGAGTTCCTCCACTAGCTTAGAAACCTGTACCTACGGTGGAAAGAAAGGGCACCATTAGTCAAGTGCATTTGGAAAAAAAAGGAGCCTTTGGACTTTGAAGCCAAGTTTGAGAAATACAGCCTAAAGAAACTCAATTTCTCAAAGATGCATAGGGAAAATATTAAAGCCATTTAGAAACCATAGTGTTATAAAAAATATTGTAACTGACAAATTTTGTGAGGCAACTATGTATCTTGTATCTCAACTAAATTCATGGTCAAGAAGTTATTGAAGATTGAAGACTGAATGCTTAAGCTATAAAGAAACACATTCAAGACTTGTTGCATCCAATCAAGCTTAGGTGGGGTAAGTTGACCTAAATATATAGTTGTCCTATTTTGGTTTAACTTAGGTGGTAAAATTGAATTTAGAGTGTGAGTATTTAATCCATTAATGACTCGTGTTCTTGGAGTTAAAATATTTTTGAAAATTTAGGGTTTTAGTTTTCAAAAATAGTTTTGAAATTATTTGTGTTGTGCGTTGTACTTAGAGAGTGGCAGCCAGATTGCTATCAAGTAGCCAATTTTCTCCACCGTTCTCCACAAAACTTGACTGCTACATCACAGAAGGTTCTCTTGTTTGCCAAACTACCTCTTGTTTCCAATTCATTTATATAAAAGACAACCAATAGAGGATGACCTCCATGACCTAAAGACAGTTCAAGAGGGTTAGAAAGGGCTCTAGGGTTTAGAGAGACTACCTTTTTAAGAGAGAACTTGCCCTAGACAAGATCAAAACTTGATTCCTTCATGATAATAAAAATTCCTCTAAGAATTTGAACATCTATTGTTGAGGATCTTGAATACCCATGAAACCATAATTATGGATTGTGGATCTTAGTTCGTTACCTTTGAAGCTAGTTGTTAAAACTTTTGCAATGGATTCTAGAGTGAAGATTCAAGGGAGTAAGTTTCTAGCCATGTAATTGGTTGAGGTATAAGTCTTTGAACTTGAAATCTAAGTTTGAAAATAGTGGATTAGGTTAGGTGGGGCAAGATTGGTCCTTTGGTTATTCCCGAGAGAGTTTTCACTTAAAACATTGTTTGTGTTGTGCATTGTCATCTTTTACATACTTGCCATTTTTATTCCTTATTTATGCTTCGATGAATGCATGAGTGAATTCGACATGTGCTATTGGCCGATCAATTTGCACATATATTAGTGATTTGGTGGACAGGAATTGGTGTGTTTGGATTGGTGAATTTAATTTCATTGAATTAACATACACATTTAGTAATTAGGTCAAAGGTCTTGATCACAAAGGGGTTTAAACTTATAATCATGTGAGTGAGGTTTTATTTGGGCATAATTCCATGCTTGATGACTTGATCTGAATCATGCACACCCAAGTATAAGTGGTCAAGTTGTTATATATCTTAGTAGAGTCTGAGGTCGATTCCTTTGGGAACTATCTGCTGGAAATTTAAATAGAAAAGGTGAATTAAACCTTGAGATAGATCATTGAAAAAAGGATTTTGGTGTGTGCTTAGTGATTGGAAAAGAAAATACCTAAAAACATGTTTCACTTTCAATAAATTAAAAAGGTGCTCTTTAGTTCGGGAATTGGGACATGCGTGCAATTGTTTTAGTTGATGATAGTGCTACCATAGTACAACTAACCGCCATGTCAATAGTATGTCAATTGAAAGGAATTTATATATCAAACCATCACACAACAATCGTCAGGTTTGTCATAAGGTCTATGCACCATACAACAACCAACTACCTTAGTAAACCAAAAGGTGAAAACAACCATTCAATAGTTTACTTTGGTGATTGATTGGAAGGTCTATGATTAAATGAAGAATATAGCTCTAGTTGTTTCTTAGAATCAATTGCATTAGATATGACGAGACTTAACTCTTCTATACCCAATCTCTCAATCTTCACATAATGCCCAACTTTGTAAGTCATTGAATCATGCATTGAACCAAGAAATAGCAAATACATAATGGAAATGAAAATGAAACCTAGCTCAGTACTTGCATAAACCATGAGCATAACCTAAATTATATACTAGTAATACAAAGTACAAAAAATTAAAGGAAAGTATCATCCATCGTTTAAGAGAGGTATATAACAATAAAGTATTAAGATATACTTTGATAAGCATGTAATATTGCATATTTAACGGTCTCATTGCATGTATTTTGTCTTAACTTTGCATTTAATTACTTAGAGTGAGTTAAATTTGTGAATAATGTGAAAATTTTGATGTTGCAGGTAATCATAGAGTAAATGATGGTTTTTGGAGTCTTGCAACTAAGTGTGGATGAGTGATGAAGAGATAGACACATTAAGAGGATTTAGAGGCCTTAAAAGTGAAAGAAATCAAGGAGGTACCGGTACCTCGTATCATAGGTACTGGTACCTAAGCCTACTGCAATATTGGTACTGGTATCCACACAATTTGGTACTGATACCCCGGTATTTCCCATTTTTGACCATGATTTTCTTTGAATCTGAAAAAGTGAAAAAATGAAGGTTGTAGATCTGGATGTCCTCTATCTTGTATCAAAATTTCAACTCAATAGGACTGCGAGATCAAAATTTATGACAAATATGCAAAAACTGGTCTGAGCTTTCATTAAAGCTCCCTTCCATTGAGATACTGGTACCTTATCACTAGGTACCAGTACCACAGTTAAAAAAAATGGTTTAAAGTTGGGATTTTACTAAGAATAACCCACAATTTTCATAGATCTATAATCTCTCTTTTAGGAGTTTTGTGGGGGAAGAAGGTTAGATAGCGAGACTACCTAAGTTTAGGAGTAGTTTAGAGAGAAAAGCTAGGGTTATTGCTTTTCTTTCCCCATTTTCATTCTTGTAAGTTTCAATCTATATGTAATCTTTCTTTCTAGAACTTTACTCTCATTTATTTCAAGTTTTATTGAGTTTAGCTGGGGTTTACTAGTTCTATGTTTGTATTTGGGTATTTTCTCTTCAAGCTTTACATTTTGAGTATGAATGTCATTTCTTTTGTAGTTTAAACTTCTTCTTACCTTAATACAACTCTATGTTTGATTTCATCAC